GGGAAAGAAAGACAAAGTGCTCCCAAGTGTCCATCAAGGAAAATGTCTTTGAAATAAAATCTGAGTGAGTGTTTTCTCTGAAAGTGAATGGGAGAAACACTGAGTCTTGCCGTGCAGATGTGCATAAATGACTTTACTTAGGTTCTAGTAGTGGTCTGATTTGGGAGGTCATAGATTTCACAGTGGACTTACCACTCCTGTTCCTCAGCTGGGCTGTGAAGATTTTGTTGAGCTGTGTGCTGGTGCAGCTAAGTCTGTATGCAAGAACATTATTTTGTTTTACTTTTGTTATTTGACATGCTAAGTGTTTATAGTCGACTACATATAGCTACAAGGCTAGCAAAAAGACCAGGAACTTCATCAGACCCTAATAAAAACTGCGAGCAAAATGTTTTCCTGAGTGTGTAGAATCATTTATCTAGGTCTTCCCTCACTATTTCAAGCAATGAAAGAATTCAGAGTATCACTTAATTTTTAACCCAATTAATATGCACCAGTATTACGTACTACAAATTTAAAACCTATTATGCCTTGTTTATGATGTAAAAGTAAACAAGATCTTTCAGAATGCTTTCCTAAGGTTTTTAGTCACTGATTTGACTTTTTCTACCCACTAGGAATCTTTAATGACTGGAAAACTCAATGGATCATGTTTTTATAATCTAAGCTATTTTTTACATTGACTGTGCTGTAAACACATGGAGGAGCTGTAAGTAAATGTTCTGTACTGCATGATGAATTGGATTGCTACAGTCTGGAGGAAAGCAAAATAATAATTTCATTTCTGTGGTGATTTGCGTAGCTTGTGGTACAATGCCAGAAAGACTAACAGAAATGTTTATGGATACATGGACTCCATTAATAATATTATGGATTACTGTACTTCCTTCCATTTATATGGCTCCAATGAATCAATCTCAAGTACTACCGAGTGGATCCAGTACAGGACTAAAAAGGTTAACTGAAGAACAAAGAGTTTTGAACCGTTCCAAGAGAGGCTGGGTTTGGAATCAAATGTTTGTATTAGAAGAATTTTCTGGACCTGAACCAATACTAGTTGGCCGGGTAAGGCAAGATTTATTTGGTTGTTTGGTTGTTTTTTTTTATCCAAGTATGTAAATGTGTAGCATGTGAATGTCTTCAGTCATTTGGACTCTTCTAAGAAATTCAAATTTGAGGTGATCTGTTATTCTGAAATTCTTCTCTAAATCATTATATTTGTGCTTTCAATGTCCCTTATTTTAAGGATGTGTTTTCCTGGTTAACTAACCTGCTATTTACTGCAAAATTATACATATTCCATTTGACAAAAGCACACAAGCTTGTACACATCCTTTCTTTAATATTGTTAATTACCTCTGCCAGATGAAGAATTTCACCAAAGCATTTTTTGGTAATATGTTCCTATTAGTCAAAATACTTTCCTATTCATTCATTCAAAAAGGTTGTTACACTGGTAGATCATTGTCTCTCTCCAGCCTGATTACACAAAAGTTGTTTATGCTCTAAGAATTTTTAAAAACAGAGAGAAGTGTGGTATATACAGCAAATTACAACATGCTAGTTTATAGGGAGGTCTTGATATGCATATATCATATATGCATATATGCATATCATATATGCATAAATATATTATGAAATAATGTTATTGCCACAGGTTTTGTAATTTACTTTCAAAGTTAGGAAGATTACATGAGGAAAATTACTCTGTTTTTCTGTGTTTCCTAGCTTGCCTGTTGCCTTAAACCTTTGATTTGTAGCCATGCATTAGCTTATTCTGTAACTCAGTGTATTACCCCCAGTCAGTGAATCAGCCTTGCACTTTCTCTGAAGAGAGATCATGGGCCATCTGCATTCCTCAGGAATGAATTATATTTATAAATATTCTTAGAAAAGAATTATCTGTTCCTAAATGCACGTTTGGTCTATAATGAGCAGTTATAAATATCTTGATTGTTTGTCACTAAAGTTCAGTTCCCTTTGAATAAGCAGGTACATTTTTGTCTCATTACCTGGGTACTGAATATTGAGTTAAAAATTTCTAGAGAACAGAAATTATGGGTATCAGTTAATTTCATTACAATTTTGAAAATTCTCTGGATAAATGGATAGCATATAATATGATGCAGGAGCTGTCAATAGCTATGTCTGTTACTGAAGAGAAGATTTTCCCTACTGTAGCCACTTTCCAGTTGAAACTTAAGGTCAGAAGATATAATGAACTTTATATCTAGTGACTTTTGAGCGCTGTGTTAACAGGTATTACATATCTGTTCTCACTTGTTTTTCTGTGGTTAGTAACATCTCTATTTCAGAGAGATAGCGATATGCTTATTTCAAATCTTAAAAAAATTATCCAACCCATTATTTTCAGAATATTTCGTTCAAGATTTTACAGCAGTTTTGAATTGGTTTTGAGTAGCTGGAGAGAATCCTGAGTTTGTACTTTTATTTTCCGGTTGTATCCAAGTCTCGATGTTTCTACAGTATTAGTTTTTTTGTTGGATATAAGATCCTAAATTGTTGAGTAGAATTGGGTGGGTTAAACTAAGCCAAAACAATAAAGATGTTATCCCCTTTTCTGCTGGCATTTTGAATAGAATTAGCTACTCTAAAATGCTGGGACAATTTATTTGTTACCACTGCTGCATAATTAAAACACTGCATGACATAGATGAAAATGAGCAAAAAGTGAAATTTGCGTCTGTGGGGAGAAATCCTTGGTTTATTCATGAAAATGGCTTAAAATACTCTTGTAATTCTTGTCTGTATTTTTTCACACTCTCCAGAAAAAATCCTGTGTATTTCAGACTTACTTTTCTTTCCAAAGGTTTATGAGTACTATGGGCACTTTTAAACTCTGCTGTAGTCAGTGCGAACGGAGTACACACATTTCTCAGAGCTGCTCTTAATCCTTCCTGACTACGAAGCAGCCACTCCCTCAGTTACAGTTCTTGGCAATCCTTCTTCCACAAACTTAAATGTGTACAGAATGTCACAAGCAAAATGCCTTCATAAAGCTAGGCTATGGTTTGTCCTCTGTCACTATTGTGGTTTAAGCTCAGTGCATAGCTGAGCACCACGATGCCCCAAAAAAGGGCTAGTCAAAATAAGGACTGGGAGGGCTTCTCACCACTTAAACAGGTCGCAGGCAAAAGACAGACTCATCATAAGGAAATAAAAAACAAAACAATTTTAATTTGTTACCAGCATCACAGTAGAACAATGGGAGATACAACCAGATCTTAAAGTCAAAACACCTTCCCCCCACCCCTCCCTTCCCGGGCTCAGCTTTTGTTCCCGGTTTCTTCACCTTCCCCCTCCCCCTTTGCCTTGAGGCGCAGGGGGATGGGAGTGGGGGGTTGCAGTCGGTTTTCGTGCCACGTGCTTCTTAGGAGTAGGGAAAAAAAACTCAGCCCAGTCTCTCTCTCTGCTTCCACGTGGCCCCCTTTCCATTGGGGAAAACGTCCTCAGAAGTCCAATCTGGGTCTGCCCACAGCTGCAGTTTCCCTCACACACAAAACTGCTTCAGCCCAAATCCACAAAAATTCAATCTGGGTCTGCCCATGGTCACAGTTCCCTCACACACGACCAGTCGACCCGGCTCTCGACACAAGTTGCAAAGGGGAAACCTGAGTTCTGCGTCCTCCTCCTTCTCCCTCTCTTTTTCTTTCCTTCGAACCGACCTTGGTGTTCTTCAAAGTTGTTCTCCTCGGGCCCCATTCCTTTCTCCGCTGCAGGTCTCTTCTGATGGCTATGGAGATCCTGGCTCACTCATTCTCTTTTTTTGGGATGAAGCTGCAGTGGGGCTTAAGCTTAAGTTGTGGTCAGGGCGGGCCAAGCCCAGCTGAGCAAGGCCAGGGCCACACCACCCACACCTGAGGCCATGCTGGCCAGGGCCAGTGGCAAAGAGAGCAAGAGGCATGCCCTGCACCACCCTTAAATACCTGAATTCGCAGGGGCGCTGATTGACTTGGCCCTGGTAGGAGGTGGGGCTGACAAAGGCAAAGGGGGAGCTTTTCAGGTAGCTTCTTAAAGGGCCATCTCCATAGCCCTTCCCCCGTTACCAAAGACACAACCAAAAACCCCTCACAGAAAACCCAATACAGTCACCCACATTGGTTTCTTATCCATTATATTTAAAAATAACCTTCTTTTCAGAACTCATGATAGATTTGCACTTACCTTCCTCATCTCTTTCCTAGTTATATTCTTCCTACAACCTTTCAGTTTTGCCCCTGCTAAAGGATTTGCACACTTGGGATAGCTTCTTCATTCTGTGATTTTTATCCTATATTTTTTTCCCTATGACTTATCTTGATTTTCTTTTTTCCCTTTTTTTTTTTTCTGTTGGCCAGACTTTGAATGAAGAGCAGTCTGTAAAATATGATACAGTGAATCAATGTAGAGAGGCTTAGTATTGTGGAAAGAATTTTACCAAAAGTGTATGCCAGCTATTTGCTGCTTTTTCTGGACACAGATGTGCTTTTGTGCCATTATAGAGGCACTATTGCTTGTACGTGCTTTTTACATATCTGAAGTCCTAGTATAGTCTCCAAAGAAATTTATTATTTGGCAGTTATTTGCTTCAAAGGAAACATTCTTAAAGCAAATCTAATTATGTAGGTTTTGATTGCAGTTTGTCTCTTTCTACACTACTGTAGAATGTGCATGGTACCTTTAAAAGTCATATATGATTTGTACAAACATGTAAAATTGAGATTAATTATAGTAAATATAAACAGAGTACAGATCACTTTATAAATAAAAGCCTGAATATAGAGTCTCTGCATTCATTCTGTTGAAAAGATCTCATACCAGATTTTCTGAAGCACAGAGAAAGTTTAGCGAGACAGGATTTACAGAGACAGGTAATACTTTTTAATTAGGCTGCTCAGTTTTCCAGGAGAAACAGCATCTAGGCATAAAGATCCTTCAGAATTTTCAGTGTTGCAGTACAACTGCACACTTTTCAAAGACACTTATTCATTGCTGTTCAGCATGAATATATATTAATAAATGCATTCCCAATGTATTTGCTTAAATAAATGAAGGAATCTCGAGTAAGACTAATAGGAGGATTTATTGTGACTTCTTTCTTTAAAGTACAGTGGTTTTCTTCAGTGTCTTGTGTAAGGGACAGGAGAAATTATTTTGCTTTTGCTCTTGAACTTCAATGAGTTTGAACCATATGCACTTTTAATGTCTATTTTCATCATTATATTAAGTAGGATCAAATTCACACTTAAAACAAGCAGCTCTACTTGAGTTAGCACATCTGTAAAAAAGTATGTGAATAGTTATCTCTTAGGATCATTCCTGAAATTGAGATTTCTATATAAAGTGCTGCAAACATTCTAGTTATTATTTTTCACCTGTATTAATATTGCATTTATTTTGGCACATGGTATTATAATAAATTCCAAATTGTTTTGATCTGCACACGTAGAAATGTATATATGCATTTTGAGAAACTTACAAAGTAACATTTTTCATGTTCCCGTGACATACTTCAAATGAGTTTGGTTTTGTTCACAGCAGTACAATACAGAAAGATAGATTTAGAAATACCCTTTCATACTTAATTTATCTTTTTTTTGTTTGTTTATCTTTATCCATAGAAGCAGGTATGTACTTTACGAAGCTATATCTACTTTAGAAGTCTCTATGCTGCATATTGCTGTCAGCGATTTGCAGCCTCCCAGTGGCTGACAACCTCATTCAAGTGTAGAGCGATATGTCTTGTGACACTGCATGCTATCCCTGTGGACTTGATTAGTTAGATAGAACTTTTACTTGATATACACTGCTGCATTTTCTCAGTCTCCTCTGCATGCATTTACAGCACCATGGCAGATGTGCTGTGAAATCTGTGCTGTAGCAAACGCCACTCTTCTTTCATAGGAGACAGCCACTGAATTCACAATGAAACAGATAATGAAGTTAAAAAGCATTAGGAAACTAGGTTTTGGATGCTCCTGTTTTATGGAACAAGTGTTATTTGTGATATTTTAAATGGGATAGGAATTGGTTTACTATAAGTTTCTAAGCAAAAACCTGGGATA